AATGATCTGAACTTGACGGCTGAGAAAATAACAGCCCAGAGAGGTTGAGTAACAGCTCCAGGTCAGCCAGCCTGTAAGCAGGAGTGCAGGACTGGTTCTTATTTCAAATCCAAGCTTTAGGCTTTGAGTTCTCCACCCACTGATTGTGCAGAAAGTGCTAACAATCAGATTGATCATTGGTGTGGCTGAAGCTTAAGTATACACTTTATAAACCGGATGGACAGGTCTCCAGCCGACATCTGGCGGCTCCATTCTGCCCTCCACACCACACTGCATTTTGTACCGATGGCAGCCCGTTCTCTTCTATGGTAACCTCGCCTAGCACTTGAGCAGTGTCAGAAGTAGCATCCTAACCGAGATCCGTGGCAATGCCGTAGTTGTAGAAAAAGCAAGGGGAGGTTAGAAATGACCAAGATGGCTCTGCTCACAGAACAACCAAGTCACCCTGAGTTTAAATGAAATGAACCCTGTACTTTTGCGATAAAGAAACAAAAAGATGTTTGTGCTCATTACCTAACATATCTGGCTCTAGGCACCTGGGAATTCCAACAGTTAAAAAAACCCAGTTAACTGAAGGCGGAGAACCTTTTCTGTCTCCCTGAAATGCCCTGGGGTGACTGTGAGGCTTTCTTAGCCTGTTATAATGCAGAAAGACACTAATCTGGAGAGGCATCCACCCCACCACGTCCACTGCGACACCTCACTAGGTGCCGCCTTTGTTCCTCAGCTCTGCCTGGCCGGGTTCTCCCAGGGGAAATGACTTGCCAGTGGGTACAGATCAGTCACAACACGTACTTTAATCAGCCACTGACCACGGTCTGCTTCTTTGTGCAGAACAGACATTTCCCTTGAAGTACTGAATGCACAATACAAACCTAGAAGAAGTACAGGTCTGTGGTTTTCTTTTTAAAGTAAAACATCATTTTAAAGTTCAAATGTCCTTTATCTGAAATGCAGTTGATTCTGGTGTATTTTCATGTCATTTCATTCCTGAAGAGTCTGTAGCGACGTATTTGGTGCATGAAGGGGGGATTAAAGCTGGACCTTTAATACCCTGAATTTTTGTTTTGTAACTCAGAATGCTAAAATCTCTCTTAGTTTGCATCATGAATTCAGGCATTATTGGTGATGAACTGGGAGAGGCAAATGCTTACCAGGCTCTGAAGAAAAACCCTTTGAGTGTGGACTAGTTGGTGGAGCATAAGGCTGTGGGTTTGTGGCAATGTTGGGTCTTCTATGCAAATGGTGACCCAAGGATATTTCTCCTACCTTCTTACCATCTCTGGCCGTCAGTAACAACCACCAGTTATCGGGTGACGGCTGTGTATCAGGCACAGCGCTAAATATAATTTCATTTAATTCTTATAATAAACCTATGCATTTGGTGGCATTACCATTGTGCAGATGAGGAAGCTGCATTTAAAGAGAGATTAAACAACATGCCCAAGGTTACCCGGCAAATAGGCATCAGAGATAGGCTTTGGGTCGCTTCCCTTCATCATTCTGCTACAGGATTGAAAGCAACTTGGCCCCACGACTGGCAAAAGCCTTACAGTCGCAATACATGAAGGGCACCTGCTGGGTGTCCTAGGAGGGAAGACAGGCACCGCCCCAACTTTCACAGGCAGGAACTGAGGGGCTTCGTGTGAGGAGGACACACGACTCGGCCTGCGGACCCGGGACCAGCCTCTTTTCAAAACAGCCTTTTGGCATCCAGCCAGGCTCTTATTATTGGCAAATCGTCCTCCTTTTGGCCTGTTTCCAGCCCATATAATTATAGCAGGCATGTGGCTCAAGAGGCTGAGCGTGTCCAAGGCCTCCCATCCGGCCTTTGCTCCATCTGAGTTGGCCAACTTGACCTCCATTCGTGCCCGGCCACTGGGAACCTGCTGCGTGCACAGGCCCATGCAGACAGCTGGGGCACGCTCCTCCTTTCCCGAGTCTGCTCTCTCAGCCCTTTAAGTGACGCATTTTTCATTTGTGCCAACTGGGCCAGGACGGGGACTCATACGACATCCTCCCTTCAATAAGCCCTTAAATTGTTGGGCTGGGGAAAAATAAAGATACGGAAGCAATACCCATTGTCGGATTCAACAGAAGAAGAAAGGAGGCGGCAAACAGTGGCACAGAGTGGGCAGGGGCTTAAGTGACCAAGAGGGAAGGCGGGCAGTGATTCTCACAGGGCAGCCTGCTCAGGGCTGAGCTGAGCGCCCTGTCTTGTAAATAAAACAGGAAAACTCTGCAAAGTGTTAAAAGGAAGTGGCTTCTGACCTTGTCTAGGTTCTGAAATGAACAAGCACACCTGATTATGATCAGTGTCAAACAATATTAACCAATTTCTATGAAACTGTGGAAGGAAAGGAGGCGTGTGAGTCACGAGCAGCCAGAGCGGATGAACGGCACGGTCTACGGGCACACGCTGCCCACGCTCTCGGGGAAAGCCTGGCTGTTTTCGGTGGAAGCAGGTACCGTGGGTGGGTGTCTCAACTTCATCAAGCCCATTAGCCAAGAAATCACTCGTGAGCCAACCTAAGTTGAGCCACATTTAACATGTAGGATTCAGGAAACCAGCAAGACTCCTGAATGTTATTTCTTAAAGTAAAATTAAGGGGAGCAATAAATTACCAAAAAATGTTAACATAACTGAGGTCTACCTTAAGAAAACATGATAGGCTATAATTTAATCTTATAAAATAGATAAACTAGGGGTTAGTTGTTTCCTTGGCTGGGATTCAGCTCCAGCCCACCCTCCCCCAGTGGAAACACTATGATAGGCATGGAAAGGGAGCCGGTTAAATACAGTATGTTTCCTCATAATGGACACTAGCAGCTCTACAAAGAGGGAAAAGAGACCTGTTCATAAGTGACCTGAAGAAACAGGACAGGGCATGGAACAGTTACACAGCCAGGTCCTTTTTCCCTGTGAAAGCTCAGTATACACACCGAGGGAGTGTACATGGACCATTTCACACTCTCTCCTGACACCGGTCATCAGGGGGAGACACGGGGACTTCCTGCTCTCACTGACCTGTTTCTGTAGTGTTTGCTTTTTCTGGTTTCTTTTACAACGAATATTTATAACTTTTTGGTAAAAAATTAAAATACATAATTATATATAAAAATTACTTTGAAAAATTATATGGCCCTCATTTCTAATTTTCAAGTCTCCCTTCCGTCAGTTGATCTCGGTCACAGGGCTTATAGAGCAAAATTCCACTTACATGAGTATATGCATGCCCTCCTGCTGCCCTCCTGCAGGTGATCCTGGCTGTAAGCTAATGCCTCAGTATTTGTACTGATACTTTGACAAGCCTCAATGCCCAACTAGTCTGATGGGAGAGCTGGCCAGGCAGCAGGGGGGGCCGTGGTGGCCCTGGCCCGCCCTTCTGTGTGGTCTGCATCAGTTTTGCCACCGTAAAATGGGGAGAAAATAAGCTTTACTTATTCCCTTAACTCAAAGGAAGGCTGTGAGCATTGCTGAAAGGACACTTAGAGGAAGAGCCTGTGGTACAATTATAAGGGCCTAACTTTATGAAGAATGTGTCTGTTTTCCTAAAACACATTAATGCAAGGGACAGATGAGCATGATAGAAGTCACCGAATGCTGTGATGCCACAGGCAGCCCGACCATGGCTGTCATCACAGGCCAGTGCTTCACTGCGTGACTCCCAGGGATGGCAGCAGAGCACAGGGAGGTGGCACAAAGGACCAGGGCAGCATGAGCGAACTTTTAGGTCCTCAGAGTCCTGACTAGACAGGGCAGCAGGGTGGTCACCCACGTGGACGCATCAGTTCTTACCAAGTCAAGAAGGCATTGTATGGGTGCTCCCGCTTCCAGGACTATATCCTAAGGAACCCCAAACACCAATCACAAAGAACTTATGCACCCCGATGTTCATAGCAGCGCAGTTTACAATAGCTAAGGTCTGGAAACAGCCCAAGTGCCCATCGGTAGGTGAGTGGATAAAAAGCTGTGGGACATTCACACCATGGATACTACGCAGCTGTAAAGAAGGGTCTCTTACCCTTTAAGAGAGCATGGAGGGACCTGGAGGGTATTATGCGAAGTGAAACAAGCCAGTCGGAGAAAGACAAGTACCACATGATCTCACTCACATGTGGAATCTAATGAACAAAATAAACTGATGAACAAAATAGATCCAGAGACATGGAAGCATGGAACAGACTGAGGGATCTCAGAGGGAAGGCGGGGAGGGGGAGTGGGTGGGGGAGAGATTAATCAAAGAATTTATATGTTTATAAGCATAACCCATGGACACAGATGTTGGTCTGGGGAAGGCCTAGGGGCGGGGTGGATGCAGGGTAGAGGGGATCTAATGGGGGTAAAAAGGGGACATCTGTAATATTTTCAACAATAAAGATAAAGAAACTTAAAAAAAAAAAAAGCATTGTATGCCTGTGCCTAGGTTGACAGAAACAACTTCATAATCAAATTTCAAACTGAAAATAATGTAACTTATTAGCTTGGAAACTCCAAACCTGATAGAGTGTGATCCTTTACTAAATAGCACGTAATTTATTTTTCTTTACAAAAAGCAGACATGTTTAGTGTGGAAACCGTGAAACAAAGATAAGCGAAAATAGCAAGAGCAGCAAAAGGAAGATCACTTATCACCATAGTTCTGAGAGGTAATGGCACCAACAATTTTGGCTCATGTCTTTACAGCTTACCCATCTCTTTATCCACCCAATTAAATATGTACCTGTATGTATGCATATATATAAAGTTTATAAAAGAAATGGCATCATCCGGTTCATACTAACTGAAGATAGAAACCTCCTTGTATGCACTGGTGAGCTGCTGTGATCGGTGTTGATCTCCGCACACACCTCGCGCTTTGCCTGAGCCTTCTCTGCCCCACGGCTCCACTAACCAAACTTGATCTCTGCTTAAGGCTGCCTGGTGCCCCTTAAAGCAAAGCTCCTAGCTCCAGAGCAGCTCAAGGTTCCCCCAAGAGTCTGAAATGATTCACACTTACTTTCCGAGGTTTCACCTTATCTTGTAAGTCATACTGGCCGATTCCTTTATAGCTGATTCCAAGCCACCAAGGAAGTCCTTGTTTATCCTGGAAGATGGAAAAGCATGAGAACCAAGACCTAATTGTTAAGTCTCTAGAGGTGAAGTAATGTTCACCCGTCTCAGCCTTTAACAAGTGTAAGCAAGTCAAAATAGAGCTGTCTTGGTAAACAAAACAGTACTTAAAAACCAAACTTGTTATTAAAATGCCTTCTTAGAATTTCTTCAAATAAGATTTTTAAGTGAAACAGACCAATAGTATTAATACCATCAAAAAGAATGGAGCATTGACTGTTTTGATTAAACAGTTGGAGAAGAAATAAAATGTAAGTAATTCAACTAAGAATTAATCCAAAGTACAAAGCCAGTTACCTACTAAAAAAAAAAAAAAAAACCCATGAAAGAAAAAGACAGAAAGCTCTTTGTTCTCTTGATTAGTAACCAGCTATAAAGGTCAGGGAAGTTGCCAGAGAATTACAAAGATGTAAAAAGTGGTTCCAAATCCTGGTGTTTATAATACACTTGACAGTGAACATGGGAATATTGAAAAAACAGGATGTTTGAATAGTGCCTTTGAGGTACATATGCGGAGAGGAGAAATTTTTTTTCCATAAATTTGTCTTTTAGGTCTTGAAAAGCAAAGGATGTATTGACATAAGGAAGGAAAAACTTAGGCTGAACCATATGCCCATGTGCAAACAAGCTAAGACTCAGCAGACATTAAAGTTGCATCAGTACACATTTTAGTACAGGGTGTCCCCTTATGCAGGTATCTCTTACCCAATCCCCCACTATTTTGAATTGTAAACATTGTGGGAATGTGAAAAGTCACTCAAGATTGATCAATTATAAAACTATTCCTCTTTCAAACCACACTTCCTTCTTAACCTGCTTTATGTTTTCTCATCTCACAATACTTCCTAGTCAACCTCTCCCTGCTTGTAAACATCTGAAAACTACACAAACACAAAGCACAACGACTGAAAGCTGCTACTGCAAATCCTGCACAAATGGGAGGATGTCAGGAAGCTACTGAAATGACACTGGAGAGGGCATGAATCTCACACACAAGCTCCATCACTGGAGAGGGCATGGCTCTCACACATGGGCCCCATCACTGGAGAGGGCATGGCTCTCACACAGGCTCCATGGAATGGATTTCTGGTAGCACTAGAAAGGTAACCAACTGGAAAGAGAAAAGGAACTAAGAGTAGCTAACAGAGCAGGTGTGCTGAAAGAATGCTCCAAATATCTTAGGACCAACAGAGCTTTGAGAAAACATTTAAACACAGCAAGTGTTTGGCAAAAATATGCTTTAGAGTTTGCTAAGAATGACGAGATATCAATCTTGCCCGGCTGGCGTGGCTCAGTGGTTGAACATCCACCTATGAACCAGGAGATCGCGGTGCGATTCCTGGTCAGGGCACGTGTCCTGGTTGCGGGCTTGATCCCCAGCAGCAAGTTTGCGGAGGCAGCGGATCAATGACTCTCTCTCATCACTGATGTTTCTCTCTCTCTCCCTCTCCTTTCCTCTCTTTGAAATCAATAAAAACATATGAAAAAAGGAAAAAAAAAAAGAAAATCAATCTTATTTTCAATGCTCACATTTTTAGAGACATTTACATATATATGCATATTGATTTACATGGTTTTAGAAACTTGGTGTTTTTCACTAACTCACAGAATACCATGGGTGTTATGAAAGCTTTGCGTGTGAAAGTATTTACCTTTACTGCATAGTAATGGACTCCGTAAGTTGGTAGAGCTTCTACTATTTTCATATACCTGTGGAAAATGAATATATATTATAACCTCTTATTAAAATAGAGGGCCCTTCTGGGAAAAGTGATAGAAAGAAATACAGTTTATATCTACTTTCCTCATTATAACCATGTCTTTGACTAAAGTAGAAATAAAATAAACCATTCTAGGGAGTAATATATTTTACTTGATCCAAATGTTATGAGGTTACTAAGAAAACTTCAATTTCAAAAAGCTATAGGAAATGTTATTTTCTGCATATTAAGATTTCTATGGCTTAGAAACATATTGTACTGTATTATACACTCAAATTACAAGTATTTCTTTAACTAAGCACCTAATAATGCAAAGCAATGAGAAACAACTTTTGGGTTATTCTCAGAGTAAGTAAAAAATAAAGCTATTTCATGTATTGATTGTGGTGAACTCTTAGAAATATATACTCAACTCCTAAGTTGAAACTCTTAGAAATGTACACTTAAAAAGGGCGAAGTTTATTGTATGAAAACCTGATTTTAAAAAATATGCCCACTCCCCCCCTCAAATATAAATTAGAGCAATGGTGCTACTATTTGCTATTTTTAATTCTACAAGTATTTATTGTGTAAGACTGCTTCTCCACGTACAAGAAATTGAGGTTCCTGTTTCATACAAGTGGACTTATTAATGATATTTGAAGATTAATTGCTCTGGACTTTGTAACCAGTAATTTGGTGATTTTTAAAATCATTCTACATGTAAATGAACATAAGAGGTTAGGTAAATGTGCCAAGGCCATGCAGCAGTTACACTGCACAGCTAGGATTCTAGCAAATCGAGTCAAATTTTATAGTCTAGAGCCTTAACGACCAAGTTGGACAGTCTCTTTAGAGCCACAATGATAATGATGAGCGGAAATAAAAAGACACTGCATTTAAGCAAGGAAACTTCATGATATGATCATTAGCCTAACCGAAAATCCTCCAGGGAGACTGGCACTCAGTTATTTATTATTTATTTATTTATTAAATTTTCATTTCAAGAAATAGGCACAATGAGTTAAAATGTCAAGGATTCAACTTCAGGAGTTAACTTTTGCTTTCTACCTTGAAGATCACAGAAGGTGTGTTATGATAAAAAGGAGGTTAGTGTGGCCCTGGGCAGGTACCTCAGTTGGTTAGAGTGTCATCCCCATATACCAAGGTTGGGGGTTTGATCCCCGGTCAGGGCACATACAAGAATCAACCCATGAATGCATAAATAAGTGGAACAACAAATCGATGCTTCTCTCTCTCTCTCTGTCCCTTCCCCTCTCTCTCAACTGAATACAAGAAACAAACACACAAACAGAACAACAAGGGAGATTAGTGTAAGCTGTAGGGCCAGAGGGGAAATGCAGACGCTGATCGGGGAACAGTGATCTCTGAGGCTTTACTTCAGCTCTCACATGCTCTGAGCTAAATTCAGTAGTTTTCTTTTTCTTTTTTTAAACTTCTATGGCCATAAAAGTTATTCTACAATTACTATAGCAAAAATGTAACATTAGTTTTTATAATTAGAAAATTATAAGTTTAGTAGCTTGTGAACTATTCTTTTTCTTCTTCTTTTTTGAGGAAGGTGGAGGCATTGACTGGTTGTTCCATCTATCTAGGCATCATTGGTTGATTCTTGTATGTGCCCTGACCAGGGACTGAGCCTGCAGCCTTGGTGTATCGGGACAAAACTCTAACCAACTGAGCTCCCTGGCCAGGGCCTCTTGTGAACTATTCTTAATAAATGGATGGTAACTCTAAGAGTGGAAAGTGCAAAAATATATCAGGATGGCCTTTCTTGGTAGCATGAAGAAACAGATTATCCACCATCAACACTGTGTTCCACCAAAAGTAGGGTCACAAACTTGACAACAAAACATGGCCTCTAGCCAGGTTTTGTTTGGCTCACATTGTATTAGAATTTTCTTAAAATTACTTTGCAATGTTTAAAATGGGATTTAAAAGTCAAAAATGCCAGATTTTCTTGAAAATATTAGAAGATCTGGTAACATTATGCTTGAATTCTGAAGCTGAGTAGCTTTGCCTCCACCCAGGGCAAAAGCTCTCCAGTTCACCACAGTCCCCACCATTCCCTATTGCCCCACACTTGGCCTACATTTCACATTTTTGTAACCTGCCTCACACGGATGGGATCTGAATTGATGACACAAATATGGAATGAGCCAAGAAATTTTATAATTCATGGCAAGATATTTCTAATCAGATGAGGGTTATCTACACCCAAACCACACAACAGGAAGCATTTCAAAGGACTTCTGTAAGCAAAAGACATTAAATTATATCTAAGCCAAAGGAAAGAAGGATACTTACTGAACCACAGCTTGACCCCGTGTCAGACCTTTGATTTTCAAATAATGCTCAATTACCCTGTCCTCACTGTAAAACAAGGAGATGAAAAGTATGGCAATGTGTGATTATATGAGACACAGACTTGTTACAAGATTCTCAGGTGGCTCTTTGAGAAACTTGAGAAAGAAAGCTTTCCTGACTGGCTCGGGGGAGAGAAGCTGGCTGACATTTGTTCTGTAAGACACAATTCCTGGAGGACTCAAACTTCAGACATTTGACTACCTTATCATGACTTTTTAATTTATATTTTATATAATGTATTTGTATAACATATTAATATTTTAAAAACTTTATTAGAAAAAGAAACTATCAATTTATCAAATGGAAAACTAATCTTTTGTCATAACTGAATAAAATATAATAAATACAAAATAATGTTAGTAAAGAGAGCTCAACAAGTGTTAGGTATTAAAGACAGTTTCCTTAAATTATTCAGAGAGATGTACAAAGAATTAAAACTGCTCCTGACTCTGTGTTCAATCTGAAATACTCCATTGTCACTACTCAGAGGTGCACTGCTTTGGGGGAAAACCCTTCACTATTGTTCAAGGGAAACACGTTGACTGAAAAGGGGAGAAAGAGGCTGAAGTCCAGCAACCTAGGACATCATTCGGCCATTGCACCTTACTTTCAGACAGGTAGCTTTTCCGTCTTATTTCAAGTAAAAGCTAAAAGAGTAATGTTTTTATCTCTATATATCCACTAATCAATTGTAATCAGTCTTTGTTTCTTCTTTCTTAAGGCACTGTTACTTAATGATGATACATTAGAAGGTTCCAGACTCAGGATGCAATGTAGCCTCAGTCCTCACTCTCACTGCTTATTTGGAAAATGGGTTCCAGCTTCATATTAAAGCTATTCATGTTGAATATTTATCTCAGTGTTTTAGTGGGAAGGAAAACCATCTTTAGGATTCGAAGCCTTCAACCAAAAAAAATGTATTTAAAGGTAATGGATGGAAGTAATTCAAAGGGAAAAAAAGTGCTTTTCTAGAAAAAAAATGTTATATGAAAAATGGGTACTATGGATTCAGTAAAGTACAAACAAAGTACTTCAAAATATACGGCAATTTCCGACCATAGAGGAAACAGCCGGTCATTGAAGCCATTTCTGGTTGCTAAGGAGGCCTCTGTCCCAGGAACTCTGTTTACACCGCCCATCCTGCGCTCGCCGACTCTGGCCACAGCACGCGCACCGAGCGGCGTTTGCTAGCGCACACTCCACGCCCTTCGCCCTCTTCAGAGAGGATGGACACTGCCAGCTGCTCTTGGCAAATGACCATAGTTTTGGTAGAACGATTTCCAGGGGATTTCGAGAAGATCCTTTCTCTGAAAGGACCCCAGTCTGCTTACAGTTGCTCCGACACACTGATGGGCAATTTCACACGGTCTTCACTTATATTTCCTTTAACCTCCTGAAAGGCACGCCGTTCTCATCGGAGGCTGTGGAAACAGGGTCGCCTGTGTCTTGCTTTGGCTTACCAGTAAGCAAGGGATGGATGCTCCTGAAGAGTTTTGGTTGGAAAGGCTGGTAGTGTCTTTAAATCTTTCCGGGCATTTTCATCACTAAAAAGAAGAGTAATACAGTCACGTCAGTCCCTGCTGCCTACGTTATTATCCAGCTGGCAACCAGGTGAAATCTGAAAAACAGCCCTAGCACACGGGTCTATCCAAATGCTGCCGGTGCTGATAAGGCTCTGGTCTCTAGCTAGAGCTAGCCCTTAATTTGACAACCCCCAAGTCATTGGATATTATAAAGTTTAAAAAGATGATAAAATTAAAATACTCATATTAAACTACCTTAACCCCACTTTCCGTGTTCTCCTCATAAACGCAGCCGCTTTCATCATATATTCCCGCATGTGTCTATATTATTACATAATTATTATTATATTGTGCACATCCCACATTCCATTATTATACAGCATTTTTCAAATTTTGTTATATACTTTCTCCACCTTTCTACAGCAACCCCATAATTATCTTTAGTGGCTACACAATGTTCCCCATGTTGGAATATTGGTTATCATAAAACCATCCACACAGTGTCACTCATTTTTCATAACAATAAAAAGGTTTACGTGGACCTATCTGTTCCTCGTCTGTTATTTCCTTGGAACTCTAAGATAAAACGGACAAGTCGCCATCTGCAGAGAGCACGGGGGTAGATGGCTTGAAACCGGCTTCCGGTGAAACCCAGGGCCTTGCTCAGCGGCACCAAGTGAACTGCGAGGGCCCGGCGAGGCCAGCTGGTATCTACGTACCAAATGGCAAAATTCTGGTTGTGGAACGGGAGGGTGTGGCCGCAGCCGGGGGGCAGGCAGCAGGCAGCCCTGGCTGGCCCGCCCGTGTGGGAGCCAGCCCCTAGCTGCCGGCTAGTCGGGGCTGGGGGGCTGGCTCTCGGGGGCCTGCGCAGCCAGGCCCTGCTCCTAAGGCAGCTACTCCAGATCCAGAGGCCCAGCCCCGGAGCTCGCCTGCTTTCCGCCCCCCGCACCTCCACCGCAGCCACTGTGCGGAGCAGCTGCAGAGCCAAGCGCCAGGCACCGCGCTGGGGCTGTTGCTTCGCTCCCGTAACCTCACCCGAGCTTTTCCCACGCAGCAGGTCCTATCGTTGCCCCTGCTTCAGAGGCGCGGGCGTGAGGCTTGGAGGCCGAGCCCCTCGCTCAGCGTCTCGCAAACCCGCTGCTTGGCCCCAAAGGCCAAGAGCAGGGCCTGGTTTCTATGACCTGGTTCCTGACAGCCGCCCAGAGCGAGTCCCAGGGACCCGCCGCGCATCCGCATCTCTTGCGAGCCACAGATCCCCTGAACCTCACTCCTAGTTACAGATGTACACGCGGAACCCGCTAGTGTCAAAACCCACCACTTACGCACTTTTACGTTAGCTTCCCTGGGGTTTGCCCCGGCGCGCATCGTGAACTGAAAGAGATGCACCCCAACTGGACGGCCAAACACTGAGCCCAGAGAGACCCCGAAGCACTCGTTCAACACTCACACATGCACTGCTACGGGCCCACCGGGGACCCGCGTGGCCTGCAGACAGGTTTCCTCTGGCCCACACTGTGGGGGCTGTATCAGAAATTGCTCACCCTTGTCACACGGTTGGGTTTGGTGCAAGTGGTTCTCCCTCCCCGTCTACAGAAGCTTGTTTTTCGTTCTGGTTCCCCGGTTTCTTGACGAGGCCAGGGGCAGCCAAGGGGACCCACTGAGCAAACTGCACATAGACTTCCCGACTTTCGCAGAAACACATAGTTAGAGCTGAGTGTCGCTTAGTTGAGAGGCACTACGATTTGCACCTGCCAACATTCCATTTCAAAACCAGGTTTGCGGCCCTCCCTCGAGGTGAGAGATCCCGCCTTGCAAATTGCTGCAGGAAATAAAGTCACTGGCTCCTGTTCTTACATAAGGATCAGTCCCTCTATTCATCTGAAATCTGAGCAGTATGGCTTAGCCACACTGACAATCTCGGGAAACTGGTTTGGGCTTCCTGAAAACCAGAATGTACCACAATCCAATTTATTCATATTAAAGGCCACCTGTCAACTCCCAGTAATGATATTTATTTTTCTTAGTAATTTCTTCTATGCTCTGTCCTCCAAATCCCACTTCCTTTGTAAAGAAGTTGGCTTGTCAGCTTTTTATGAAAGGCAAATACATTTATATGCTCTAAATGGTAGACTAAGGACAACACTTGTTATTAATCATCACCACAAACCACATGTGTGTTTTCTTCTGGCTCTGTGTGGACTGTATCAGCCCAGCATTCACTTATTCTGTGGATTATAGTTAATTTTGTGGCGATCAAGGCCTCAGTAGAGTATAAACTGCTGTTTACCATGAGCCCACTTATTCATTTAGCAAGCACGTACCAGGAGTATGCACTGCATACCCAGCACGTGGAAGCAAGGGTCACGTGATGAAGGTACCCACTTTCCCTAACCCCACTGGCTGGACCTAATTGCAAGGGACACTGGATATGTAGTCTTTATTTGAGGCAGCCACATGGCTAACTAAAAATTCTACTAATATGGAAGAAGGGGATATTGGAAACTGGGGAAAACAATCAGACTCCATCGCTGATAAGGAACCACACTCTGATCTAGGAAATTTCTGCCATGTGGGATTGTGGACCCACTATTGATTGTTTTCAAAAACAAGGCAAAATCCCAGAGCTCCATGTAAGATATCTGAATTTTAAAATATTTCCTCAACCGAAAACCAAACAAAAAACCCCCAAAACCCCAAAATGAAAACTAAAACATTGTTCAGGCCATATAAAAATACTAGTAGACCACTACTATCACTTTGCAGTTTCTGACATAAACTCTTAGTAAGGAATGGATAGGGAGAGGCCTTCTCAGGCTCTCAACTTGGTTTCCAGTTTTAGAAAATTTATTAACAGTCCAAATTGTCAGTAATGCATGAGGTAAAAGAGACACATAAGTAAGTTTGACAAATGTGGAATCTGGACCATTGCAAATTATTGCATTCTCAGCAAAGAACACAACTTTATTTCTTTGTATTAGAAAAAGGTTCCTATTATTCCTCCAAATCTGGTTATTTATGCTATTACAAAACATCCTTTCCTTGTGAATATACAACATTACCTTCCTATTAGTGCCCATTCGGTAACCCCTTCAAAAAAGCCACCACTGATACCGCGGAGGCTGAGCTGTGGATCTACTGTAATCCTAAAAGAGAGCTCCAGCAGGATCCAGAGACGGTGAAACAAACCGCCTGGCAGGAAAATGGGTGAAACCTTCCAACAAACAGTGCCCAAAGGCAGAAATCCAAATGGCCAACAGACAGAAGCAAGTGTACACAGGGAAATGCATATTCAACCCTCAGTGCATCACCATTACACAGCCGACCACCAAATGTGTAGAACTCTGGCAATACCTAGTTTACTGAAGACGTAGGGCGGGGGGAACTCCTGTCCATTGCTAGTGGGTAGGGCAGCTGGTGTGATCATTTTGAAAATCTGCATTCCCTAGGCCCCAGGGATCCTTTCCTAGTGTATTCCTAGAGAAACTCACACAAAAGAGTGAGTTTTAGAGCAGCATTGTGCACAACAAGGCAAATAGAAGAAACTCCCCCAAATATTCCCAAACAGTAGAAATGATGAAATTGCAATGTGATTACAGCACGGACGAGCGCAGAGCAGAGGAGATACACAGAGCTTCACACACAGCATGATGGGCCTCACAGACAGTAAGCAGAGGGGCGGCAGCCAAAATATCATCCACATCACAATGCCACGTACATAAAGCTCCAAAACAAGCAAATGAAGCTGGAGGGACTCATATGTAGCTGATGAAAGTATAAAGCAAAACAAGAAAATATGCACCATAGAGTCAGAGTACCTCTGAGGAGGTTTACTGTGGCGAAGGACGGGGGGTGCTGTACCCAATGAAGTGGGTAGGGTAGGGTCTTGGCAAAGTGCACCAAGGGGCCACGTGCTAACCTGACAGCTCAGGGAGGTCTGTGTGGCGGCCTTGCAAACTCAGGGTCCTAAAGTAACCACAAAGGATGGTGTGAAAGGAAAACTTTTAAACTAAAAGTTTATGGTGGGTAGTCATGTCCTAGGCCGGCATCTTTCCTGGCAAAGGTCAATCTTTACCTTAACTGAGCCTGTTTGCTGTCTTTTTGCACCTAAGATAACATATCTTTGGAATGTCAAAGTAATTTTCCTTTTTCCAGACCCCTCAAAGCACAGGCACTGCTCTTTGGAGACTACAAATCCCCTCATTGTTATTGAGTTAATTGTTGACTGTTAACTATCCTGCACCCACCTAAGTATAAGTGTGGGTCTGTTATTTAACTTTTTATCCAATCCCAGAGGTTTCCGGCTTTGCTTTCTCCAGCCTCCCTTAACTATCACCAACGGATTTCATGTAACCCACTTACATCTCCTCTTTTGACTGTAATGCATAAAACAAAGTGCAAAACTGCCATTCTCCGGAGCATTATCTCAATCTGTTGAGATTTTGCTTCCTAGCAATTGTTGACAGTTTGGCTCAAATACACTCACAAAAATTCTCTATAGGTTTGAATGTTTCTTATGCAATAGCAAAGTCCCTCACTGGGCGTGCCAATATGGCTGTGCATTTTCTAATTGGCTCCTTACACCCTAGATACAAGTTTTATGCATTCCTCTGTGTGATATAATTCACATGGAAACCAGGTCGCATCCGGCTGGTGGGTACAGGGAGTGTGCTGAGGGGCAGCTGTGCAAGAGGCTAGGGCTGGCTAATGACAAAATTTAACCACCGGGTGTTAGGAACACTGGCACATTATTCTGAAGCTAATCCCGGCATCTGCAGAGTTTAGGACCAAGCAGAACTTCACATTTGTGTGACGGACAGTAGCTGAGCGGGTTATTTGTTCACCCTCAGAAGAAGCTGGCTGGGGAATCTGCCTGGAGTCTGAGGCCACAGGGATCCACTGAGCTCCCAGGGGCAGGATGGGGCTGGGCTTGCCTGCCTCAGATCAACCTCAGAGCCCAGGGGGAGGGCCTGAACGCAGCTGGGCGTGAGCAGGCCCTGGTGGCGATGTCTCTGCCTTTCCCC